CTCTCTCTCTCTCTCTCTCTCTCTCTCTCTCTCTCTCTCTCTCTCTCTCTCTCTCTCTCTCTCTCTCTCTCTCTCTCTCTCTCTCTCTTCTTTTCGCCTTGTTTTTTCCACTCCTCTTCCTATCCTCTTTTTCGTCCTGCTTTTGATAATCTTTCCCTCTGCTCCTACGGTTTCTCTTCCTTCTACTCTCTCATAGCCACTTCTCTCCACTCCTCTCCTCACCTCTCCTTTCCGTTGTGTTATTTTCCATTCCTCTTCTCACCACCATTACTGTGTTGTATCTTGTAAATGGTAAATGTTGATTAATTGACTCCTTAATTGAGGTAACTCTACCGTGAACATGCTCTCAATGAGTCACACCGACAAAGAGATGATAGTCTGGCAGCATATTTTTTGTAGTTATGTATCACAGCACCCCCCAACACCCCCACCACAACAGTGGTGGTCATGTATTCTCCAGCAAGTCTAAGCAATAAGAGGGCTGAACCGTAAAGGCCCTAAACCCGAAGCCCTTTAGGGCTGAACCCTAAAGGGCCTAAAGACAGAGTGGGAGGGCATCCTCCACAAGACATCAGAGCCTAGGCTATCCAAAGATGGACATCGCACATATGGTGTCTTCACTAGAGATCCCTGTATCGACCCAAACAAGGTTATGCGAAGATGAGCATCACAAAACTGTCTTTAGGTCGTAGAGGCCTTTAGGCCGTAGAGGCCTTTAGGCCCTTTAGGTTGTCCTAAAGGCCCTAAACCCCTCCAGGTGAGAAGAGGAGTGGATAACCTAAACCCGAAGCCCTTAATGCTGATTCCTAGTGGGGGATTAAGCAACAAAACTGTCTCTAGGACATAGAGGGTTTAGGGCCCTTTACAGCCTTTAGGTTATCGTAAAGGCCCTAAACATTTGAGGTGAGAAGAGGAATGGATGACCTAAATCCAAAACCCTTTATTGCTGAATCCTATAGGGGTCAAGCAACAAAACTATCTTTAGGACCTATAGGGCTTTTAGGCCCTTCAGGGTTCGTACATAGACAAGGGTATCCAGAAACATTGTGGTGGGGAAGAGGGGGGGGGTGGGGGGGGCGCAATGCGTTGGACATGGTTTGCTTCACCTAACCTTTGGAAATAGTACAGCCCCAACTTGGGCAGGATCGCAAACATGCAGAACTTACAGAACGAACTCCCGTCGAGGTCATCCTCGAAAGACGAACATCATGGCAGCCTTTTCTGGGGGGGGGGTCTTTGTTATTTTATGAATCCTATCGACCTAACAAACTGCCGAAATTTTGAATGGCATTTCAATTGTCATCCGTCTACTGGTAGTCCCGGATGGGTTGCTGCTCAACATTATTTCGATCAGCATACCACATCAGAAGTGGGAGTCTGAGCACATTGGATGATGTTTGGATGGAATTGCAATTACAGATTATTACATAAATCCAGATGGCCGTAATTGTGGTCAGATACATACAATAAAGTCCTCATGTGAGTATGATCTGACATCGCACGAGCACAAGGACATCTGGTTGGTTAAACGACCAGTGGGTAGTGGCCGTCCCACTAGCATGGTATCAAATTTTCAAACAAGGGCCCTCCTTCAAAGAAGGGGATTGGGTGGCGACCAAGGAGACACCGCCACGCATTGGTCAGGTCCATATGGTAGACTCCCAAATGGTCCTGGTGGAGCACTATGCTATTACACGGATGGGGACTCTTGAGGGAAGCAGAGCCCCTTTTGAATGGGTAGAGAAGACTTTGGTTTATTGGATCTGGGTCATGGAAGGGAGAGGGGAGAAGGTGGTTTATCAACCGCAATGGGCTGTCCATGAGTTGGCCCTGGATCCAGTGGAATGGACTTGGTCGCTCCCCCAAAGAAAGGGGGGAGCAGCAGGTATTATAACCCTCTACCGGTTGTCAGTCAAATCCGCTTACAGGATGTTTAGGCCCAAGCGGTATTTAAGGGATGTGGTTCTAGATCTTTTTTTTTTTTTTTTTTTTTTTTTTCAAACAAAGAATTCAACACTTACACTCAGATAGTGAAATCAGGAACCATATTCAGAAATTCAGTCGCAGTTGGCTTGGGCGTCCACAAGGGGGAAAAATTGGCCAGGTCAAGAGGAAAGAGGGTGAGAGAGAGGAGGTTGAAAGTGTAAGTAGTGCTTATTACCTGAAGTTTGAAGAATGGACAGTGGTAGATGCAAGTATCCCAACCCATTTCCTCGACAATCAGGTTGTTTAGTTCCATGGTCATGGTTTGGGAATGATTGAGGACTCGTCTGATCACAATGGATCAAAAGCTAGTACAGCAGGAAAATCTGGCTACCACAAGGTGGGTGAAGAGGCTTGATCCATCAGAAATGAGAGGACAGGTGAGGTCTGAATGAGTAACAGGGCTAGCATCTTCTTTTTTTTTTTTCTTCTTTTTTTGGGGGGGGGACAAAAGCTCCAATCTATTCGTGGGGAGCAACACGTGCTGGGAACCGGGCCCAGCGTCCCATGTAGAATTTATACAAATGATTTAAAATGCCAGGGCCATTACCTGGCTTCGGCTAAGAGCAATCTGAGAACTTATAAGAAATTCAGAAAAATCCATGTAAATTTAGAAAAAATTCTTCGAATGCTCAGAATCCCTGGAACCCCCCACAAAACACTCTAAAATTCTCTAACACTGTCTAATTCCCTGTCGGGCTCTCCCAGACCTCATGCCCCCACCCTGCTAGGTTACAGGGCAACACAACTCACCCCAGCTCCGGCCAGCATTGTCCCGACAGCAACCCTTGGTTTTCCTTTGGAATGCCCTGCCCAATGCATCCCCAGATCTGGGCCAACCAGCTCAATGTTGACCGCTCCCTTCAGATGCTGATCCGCTGGTTCAGAGACCAGAAATCTAAACCTGCGAAAATATATTCCCTGCAGTGGCAGATAGTGCACCACTGCCTTCCTACCAACGACTGGCTAATAGAGCGCACCAACCTGGAGCAGCGGGGTCTGGCGCTGCCATGGCGTCAGCGATGTCTGCACATGTTCCCCTCCCGCAAGAGGGCAGAGACTATCGAGCACATTTTCATGCAATGCCCAATAGCTCAGTATACGTGGAGATGGTGGGACCGTATTTGGTGGAAGATGGGGACTGAGATTCCCTGGCCATGGTCATGGTGGGCCATTTTGGTTGGCCATTGGCATTTGGCAGGAGAAGGCTCAGCTTTTGTTGAGAACATGTTTGTTTGGGCACGAGGGCGGTGATGTGGGCGAGAGGTTGCAGAGGTACGTTTTGGCCTTGGAAAATGTGAGGATAGAAGGGTCAGAAATCGCTGAACAAATTCAGCAACAGGTACAGCTGACACTCATACGGATGTGGTCCAACACGAAGTCCCAACTCGATCTTTTCACACAAATCACTGATGTCAGGAGAGCGATCACAGCATTCTGTACGGATTGGTTGGGTGGAGAAAGGGAATGATGGGTTGCAAAGGTTACATGGGGAGGGGATAGAGCTGGTGGACAAAGGGATTTGGAAGAACTGAGGGATTATAAGTTAGTGTTTACAGACTGGATTCATGTGGAACCCTCATTTCCTTTGCGTCCCCGCACTGATTCCGCGGACCCCTCCCCTCCCCATGACCTCTCCTTGACAGAAATCCTGGTTTGAAGATATTTTAAAATTGTCTCGGGGGTGGACAAGGAGACGGAAGGAGGTCCCACTGGTGCCCCCCAGTGGCTCCTGCAGGTCTTTCTGTGTGGCATCCAGGGTGATGGACGAAGAGGCAGGTTCCTGTTTTTTTGGTTTCAGATTAGCCAGAGGTTTGGGACGCTGGACCTTTTTTCCAGCACAGTGATCTTCCAGCACAGTGACCTGTTTTTTTGGTTTCAGATTAGCCAGGGGTTTGGGACGCTGGACCCTTTTTCCAGCACAGTGATCTTTTCGGTTGGTCTCATGCTTATGTGTTTCTCCCCTCGAACCCATGGAGTTCATAAGGGACGCTGAGCCCGGTTCTCAGCACGTGGTGTTCCCCACGAATAGACTGGAGCCTGTGTTATTATTATAAAAAAAAAAAAGCCTTTGAGAACGGGAAAAAAGCAAAAAAAGAAAAAAAGCAGCCTCGGGTTAACATGGACACTTTTGAATGCTGGAGTGCCCTTTGGTAGAATCCTGGTTGCGCCAGGCACATTGCGAGCCTCGGCAATCCGGATTTCTTAGTGCTAGACAAAAAGCTCTTTGGAAAAGTGGGGCTTGGACCCMCTCTTTTTTTTTTTTTTTTTTTTCCATATGAAGGCCCTTGTGCAAGACCTCTATCCTGGTGGGGGCTTGGACCCACCTGTGGTCTGCAGCTATTCTTTTTTTCCTCCACAGTGTTGGGCGCATTGCATTTTTTGAGGAGGGGGGGGGAAATATACACGTAGACATCTTTGCTCAGGCTTGCGAACGGCGAAACTAGCTCCTTGGGATCACAACTGGATGCGTGCACAGGCATGAAAAATTTGATTTAGTGCCTGCGCCGATTTGACAAAAGGCGTGTGACATACTTTCC